TTATCTTTATTCTTACTTGCAATTATATTAACTGTGAAAACTAACCCATCCATATTGATTACTGCTCACTCTACCCACCAACTTCCGCACACAATCTAAAGTTCACAAGAACTCTAGATTAACACTCATTTTCACGTTTTCAAAAGAAACGAAAAAGTTTTAAATTTGTAACAAAGTCTATTCACCCCCCCCCCCTCTAGACTTTGTATCTCACCACTTTGGGACCACCAATTGGTATCAAAGCAAGGTTCTCACTATATACGTTTAGATTAACGAGAAGCGATCATAATGGTGAACAATATGGATCACGGTTTGCCCAAGTTTTCTCTTCTAGGTTATGATGATTGGAAGATCATGATGGAAGCACATCTCTACGCTCTACATGACTGCATGTGGATGGTGCTTGAGGATGGACCCTTGAAAATCCAAATGGAGAACCCTGAGAGGGATCCAGCTGCTCCAGATGTATTCCAGTACATTCCAAAGCCCAAGGAAAAATGGAATGATAGAGATTGCAAAAAGCACAATCTGGACAACGTTGCCAAAGCAGCCATCTTCAAGACACTTGATCCCATCACCTTCTCCAAGATTAAGCATCTCAAGACTGCCATGGAGATTTGGCAAGGTCTTGGGAAGCTATGTGAGGGATCAGAGGACCTGAGAAAGCAGAAGATAGAAGTCCTGTTTGAGAAGTTCAAAAGCTTCAAAATGCTTCCCGGAGAATCATTTGATATGTTGGATGAAAGATTCCACAAGATATTGAATGATCTTGCTTCACTTAACCACATTCTTTCTCCCAAAGAAAAGAATGTAAGGTTGCTGAGATCACTCCCAACTGAGTGGTACACCAAAGCCAGAGCCATGGAAGGAGGAAGAAACCTGGAGAACTACACTGTTCAAGGTCTCCTTGGTGAACTCAGAACCTATGAGCACGAGCTGAAGAAGAAGAAGGAAGAACAAGTCACTCCCTTCCCCACGGCATTGATGACAACTCCAAGAATCCCATCAAGTGAAGGGACATGCA